CTCATGCCAGGCCTTATCATCGCCAGCTGCTTCTTCACATCTGTAGAGGGAGGCAGTGAGCACTGCATTGCAGGAGCTGTGACCAGACAGCTCCTCCTGCCAGGACAGCCTCAGGATACTCCCTTTCTGACCTGCAGCTTGCTGCTCAGCTGCCAGCATCCACAGAGACATAGCCATGTTTACAGCTCTTCCTACAGGATCCTGGCAGGGACCTGCTCTTCCTGGCTGTGTCAATCAGCCTCAGATTCTTTCCTCCTCTACCAGCTCTGCTCCATGCACCATTGGTCAAAGGTGCCGGCTCCCACACTGCTAATTCACAGCATTTTGGACGATCAGACTGTCTCAGTCGTCCCCTTTAGACACTGTAGGTGCACACGGACAAGTGTGTCCGGATGTGTGGGGAGGAGTCAGAGGACAAATTGATTGTCTCTTTCTTCTTGGGGATCTAACTCAGATCACCAGACTTAGCAACAAAAGTACATTTTTTTCCCCTTTGAGTCATCTCTATGCCCCTTGTTGTTCATTGATGCAGGGTCTCACATAGCCAAGGATGACCCTGAATTTTTCATCGTCCTGCCTCTACTTACCCGATGCAGGTTTACTGCCAAATCCCCTACAGCTATCTTGCCTGTTTGTGAGGATCAAACCCGGGGCTTGATGCATGCTAGGCAAGCACATTGATTAGCTGAGTTTCCTTCCCCAGCCCTCTTCTGCCCTTCGAGAGTCCTTTTCTATTAGAGTCCCAGTTTCTCAGGCAGGGGAAGGCAAATGTACAGGCTTTGGATTCGCAGCCTGAAGTCCACAGCCTACACATTGACAACAGACATATAACAGGGTCCTCAGAGCTCCGCCATTGCCTCTGTGAAGGACCCTTCACCTGTGCAGTCCTGGGTTCCCCAAATGTAAATGTGATGGTGCTGGTAGCAGAGGGAGATCGACAACCAGAGGGGTGCCCACAAGAGGACGAGCGTCACCCAGACTGGGTTATAAGCGCCACAGTAGAATGCCAGTTCAGAGGACCAGCCTTTTACCTGGCAGACCGCGGACACTCCCTGGCACTAAGTGCTGGTAGGTGTTGAACACTCCTGCATTGGAGATGACGATGGGGCAATAGATGTTCACCAGCTCGTGCCCCTTCTTGACACTGACACCTGCAGACACAAGAATATGGCTGAGCTTCTGTGAGCTCCTGAAGAAAAGAAGGATAGGGGTGCAGTGAACCTAGGGGATCACACACGTCAGACAAGTGCTATACTCCTTAGTTATATTCTAGCCCTTAAATGAGTTATTTTTTTCGATGGCCAGAGGCTGCCCTTTAATCTGCTTCTCCATATCTCTTTTAAGCGGTGTGTGAAATTTATTCACACTGAACCCCAAGTTTGCATTTGCACCATTTAGATAAAATCAATGTTGGGTCTGGAGGTCTAATTAGCAGCTAGATGAGAGAAAGGAATCACAGAGTCATGGGTGTCTGTAAAATGATAGGCACAGCCGGGCGGTGGTGGCTCACTCCTTTAATCCCAGCACTGGGGAGACAGAGGCAGGCGGATCTCTGTGAGTTCGAAGCCAGCCTGGTCTACAAGAGCTAGTTCCAGGACAGGAACCAAAAAGCTACAGAGAAACCCTGTCTAAAATCCAAAAAAAAAAAAAAGATAGGCGCATGGAGAGGGAAGGTTATTTTGTTTTGGCAGAGGAGAAGGAAGTTCTCTTTTGGAGATGACAGCTGAAAGAAGGTCAGTGAGCTGCTACTCAGCCTCTCTGAGTTAGCACGTTTTCACCCTGGCCTTTGACTCCAGAGACTCATTGAAAGCAGAATGATAGAGATTTAATTACTTATTTGTCAGCAATGACATAGCCAGTGCCTGCAGGAACGGAATTCCCACATGGCTGTGGACTGAGGAGGTCGGCTGCTGCCAGAGAAGTGGACCAGAATTGTGGAGCCACATTCGCTGGCTAAAACAGCAGCAGATTAAAGTGCAGCCTCTGTGCCAACAGAAAAATAACTCACTTAATGGCTGGGATATCACTCATTGGTACTGCACTTGTCCGGCGTGTGTGAGCTCCTAGGTTCACTGAACCCCTAATCTCCTTAAAATAAAATCAAGGAAAGCATAAAATACATTTCTCTCAGACTGTAGCTGTAGCCATGGCATGGTGACATATGCCTGTAATCCTAGCATTTAGAGGGTAGAAGCAGGACAACCAGGAGTTCAAAGGAGAGCCTCAGGTATCCAGTAAATTTGACGCTAAGTGTGGATCACATAAGACCTTCCCTCAAGAGATTAATTCTGTCTGTAGCCACATTATCCAGATGACTCCTAGTGTTCCTCTAATTAAAGCAAACCCCAACACACACACTACTCCCTAGCCTCAAATGCTTCTGTGTTGGCCGTCTCTAGCTCTTCTCACCCACAAATAAGGTCTTGCTTATCTTTAGCCAAGTGCTCCCATCTCCAGAACACTGGTTTTCTGAAGTCCCGGGCCTCCCTCACTGCTGCCAAGCTCTACGTCCACAGTGCTCCCATCACTCAGCTTCACGAATCATAAGAGTTTCTGAGGTCCGCTATAGCCTCTGTGTCCAACATCATCTCTGGCCATTCTCAGAAAACCCTTATAACAATCCTGACCTGTTGTAACAACTGCATTTTTGCCTTTGTTCTGTGTGGTGGTCAGGGTGCTGCAGCCCACAAGTGGAGCTCAGAGGACAACTTACAGGGTCAACTCTCTCCTTCCAACATGTAGGCTGTGGAATCAAACTGAGGTCATCAGGCGTAGTGGCTGGAATATTTATCCACTGAGCTGTCTTATCAGCCTAGACCCCAGGCTCTTACCCTGAATGTACAGGCTGGTTCAACTATAAAGACATATCAAGTCCCTTTCACTTCAGCCCAGTGACCCCTCAGCTCAGTGCAGGTCTATCTTTCTTTTTTTTCCCTCCAAGACAGTGTTTCTTTGTAGCTCAAGCATGCTTGTAACTCAAAGAGATCCACTTGCCTCTGCCTCCCGAGTGCTGGGATAAAAAGGTGTGTGCTAACACCGCCAGACTATTAAAGGTCTTACCACAGGCTCTCCCAGCAGAGTCCAGCAGCACACCCTGTACGGGAGCATTGGTGAGGACAGCACCCCCAGCACGCTGAATCAATGGGATGGTATGGAAGGCAATCTCACTGGATCCTCCTCGGGGGTAATACGCTCCTTGTATGTAGTGGTCAACCAGCAGAGCATGCATTGAAAAGGTGGTGTGGCTGGGGGTTACGCCTACAGAATTAAAGGAAAGAAAAGATAAGCAGGCGAAAATGATCACTTGGTACCATTCTGGAAGAAGCAGGGCTTCTTGTGAAGGGCCATGTGAGTCCACCCAGGATCCCATGCTCCTGACGCAGGGCAGATTTTGATCTTAGTGGAATATAAATACACTCCATGAAAACACTATCCTGCAGACACCTAGGAAGTCACTGACATTCATGGCTAAAGAGAAAACTCGCCCTTGAGCAGTGTGAGAGTCTCAACCTCAAAGCTGAAATGGAAGGATCACTGGATCAAAGCCACACTGGCCTACAGAGAGTTCCAGACCAGCCTGAACCAAGTCAGAACCTGTCTCAGGGGTGAGCGATGTGGAGGAGAAAATGCACTGGGGATGTAGCTCAACTAGCAGGGTGCTATCCTAGCATGCAGGAAGGCCTGGGTGTGCTCTCCAGCACCACGAACCCAGGCTTAGCTGCACAGAGCTCTAATCCTAGCACTGGGATTGGAGGCAGAAGGATCAGGATTTAAGGGCACCCTTCACAACAAGAATTCAAAGCTTGCCTGGAAGACCCTGCCTCCAAAAAAGAAGAAAAAAGAAAAAAGGAGAGAAGAAGAAAAGATAAAATGGAGAAGAAAATCTTTTAGAAAATAGATAAAAAAGAATTTCTACCAGATTCCAGCAGGGGGCAGACTTCTTAGTCCTTATCCACAAACTCCAGCAGGCCTGGGTCTATTCTGGCTGGTCAGCTAGGCAGATGGGGAAGAAAGACCAAAAGTTGGGAGAGCAGCAGCTTAGAAGAGCCTGGGCCAGGAGCACCCACCGTAAGTGGGGAAGATGTAGCTGAGAACGGCCTGGAGCTCAGGGGAAGCCC